AAAAAAAAAAAAGCACCATCTAGCTGGGGGGGCTTCGGAAAAGATTGGAGCAGTTTTAATGACAGCAGAAGCCATATGAGATTTCAGTGAAAACTTTAAACTGAGACAGTCATGGATTTCTTTGCACTTTCCATGTGCCAAAAAATGAAACAAGGGAAGAACTGAAAATAGAATATAAGCAACTAATTAGCAATTAATTAGTTCATGTGCCAACAACGCTATAAAACGTAAAGCACAATAAAAGTGCTAGATATTGTTATTAACTAATGATGAGAAATGTTCGGTTTTAGGGCCGTCTCTTTTTGTATGAATTATTTTAGACATCCAAGACATTAAAATAAGCTGTGAACACGATTGCATCTCCCATCACATACAGAAAGAAATAATAAAAAGACTCTAATTTTTGTTTTTCTTTTTTTTTTAAGCAAAAAGATATTTACCATGGTTCTAGCTGCTGATTAAAAATTGCCCAATGTACTTAGATCGCAGTTTTGTTTTGGTTTTGTTGGTTTGGCTTTTTGGTTTTTTGTTTTTTTTTTTTTTAGTTTAACAGACAAGCTAGAAGATATTTTTTTACAGCTGTTGTTAATTTCCACCGTTGTTTCTTACCGCACTGAAATCCAGTAAATCACTCAGTTCTTTGTCCGTCCCTAAGGCAGCCATTCGCTGTTGGTGATGCATTTTAGCAAAATCACACAAACCTAGAAACATGGAAATAACCGCAATCAGAAACCCAGTCCCGAGCTTAGCAGGAAACACAATCGGATTTTTCAGGAAGGTGGGGGTCGGGGGGTGGGTAGTTGAGAAGAAGGGAGGGAAAAAAGATGGAGGGGCAGCAAAAACAACAACAACAAAAAAGCGATATTGTATTTCCAAAGAGGCGATCGAAACCCGGTAACATCCACTCTAAACCCAAATCCGGAGGAGAAAAAAAAAGAAAAAGCCTCGCTCCCGGAGCATCATTTATGCAACAGGAGGTTCAGCGAGGAATGAATGAGGATCCCAGAGAAGAAACTACAGCCATCCGCTCCCAACTTTTTCCCTTCTCCTTCTTCCACGCAAAGTAGCGTTTAGAGGCAGAAACGGCAAATAGCGATAAGAGCAATGAAAAAAAAGAGATGCAAAGTCGCAGGCTACGGAGGCGCCGGTGCGGAGGGACGCGGGGCGGGGGTGGCGGGGCCGGGAGGGAAGCAGAGAGCAGCCTTTGACAATTAGCCCCAATTTCTAATTTGCGGAGAGGAGGGGGGTTAATAGCAACAACCCAGGAGCGGCTCGGGCCTG